GAGTTTGACAATGTAATTAAATCTGTGTAGAAAATTTATATAATAAATGTCAAGGTACGCCTTTGAAATGACAACAATGTTATATCAGGCGTGAACGAAGATAGTTTCCTTCTGACTTTTTGCTATAAGGTATCGAAATATAGAAAAGGTATTTTTTTATATTGAGTATAAAAGTAATGGTAGTACTAAAAATAAGAAGACACAAATATTTTACCCTTTGATCAACCTACGAGAGCTGATAGATTTATTATTGCGATTTCACTTGAGTTTTCGTATTACATCGAGAATCATCATTTAGTATCATATAGCATCAGCGTTACGGATGTGGAGATAAAAGTTTTGGTTACGGAGTGCCAATACTAGGCAAATGGGTAGGAGGCTCATTTGATGTTAAGTGATACCACCGCTATGGACACTCAATGCCAGAGGGCTCTCGAGTACGTTACCGGCCTTTTAAGAATTGGTACGCTCTTTTCTTGAAGGACCCTAAGTCAAAATGATTCGGAAATACTTCAGCTGGTTCCACATATAGTGGTGGTGCGCGGCAAATGCGGTAGAAGATGCAGAGAGACCCCACTCTCTATGCAACGGCAAGCAACATAAGAGTGATTAAGGTTGTCGATGATTCGAACCGTTCTTCATTGAATATGGTTGAGTATAAGGTAACACTGGTACTGGAGAGCTCCCGCCCAGACGTGAGAACAGTACTCCATGTAGGGCCGAATTTGCGCTTTATGCAGTTAAAAGCGATGGCCCGGAGTGAAGTACCGTCATTTCTTGCTGAGCATACCAAGCTTCTTGGACATTTTGACCGCGAAACTGAACGTTGTTCAACATGTCAACACCCAGTATTCCGATGCTGGATGTGGAGGAGTATCTTTGAAGAGAGGAGTAGCGACAATGGGTTTTTTCCTAGCGAAAAACGCGCAAACTTGTCTTTTTGGGGTTCCACGTAGCAGAGTTTCCACTTCAGACACCAGTTTATCATCCGCATAGCTATGCATGTTGCTAAGTTGCAACATGTCATTTATATGTAGAAAGAAAGGGTTGGGGATAGGACACAGCCTTGTGCGTTTGAAATCGGAACATGCTCCTTCAATGACGACATCAAGCTCCGATTGGCTAGAAAGAGTTGCATAGTTTCTAAGGATAGGACGCAAATAAATAATTGTATCCCGTCCCAATCTGCTGACCTCTGATCAGGGACGGGATACTGGAGTCCATGGACTAAGGGTCCGATTTAGAGTAGAATAATGCCATAATCGCATGTCAAAATCCAATATGCTTTTGACATACAGGGGTCATCCTTGTGCTTAATTCTTGAATCTTAGTGCAAGTATGGTTACAGGTTAAAACTATAGATGTCACTATACTAAAAATAAGAATCAGTGGTTTTGGCGGGAAAACGCTATAGTCTCAAAAAGCTATCGTGTGGGTCTCTGGGGCGATATACGTACATTTAATAAATAATTATTCTAGTGTTTATTTAAACAACAAACGATATTCCTACTTATATCTATTTCAATTCCAACATTCACTTTCATACTTAAAGAAATCAGATAGGTAATTCTTTGACTTAGTTGTTATTAAACTGCAAATGAACAAAAAATAAATTAAAACAAATAAATAGTATTTTTAATTTATACTTTTAAACTTTGAATTCCAACTATGTTTTTAAGGTTAATAAAAAAATATTTTGTTTTATTATCTTTAGTGGTCTATAATTTATAAAATATAAAAGCTGCTACCTATCTGCTTTCTTTCATTAAAATCGGATAAGTGGTATTATTCAGAGAACATATATTGACATAGCGATCCTTACAGACAATATAAAATTGTGCTATGGCTCCAAAAGAGCAATTAACAATTTAATGCCAGATACACAAAGAGCGCTCAATTTCAACAGCGGCTAAAAAATAAAGCTTTTTCTACAATTGACGTTTGTGTATTTGGTTCTGACTTAATTTCTAATGCACCGTTATTAAGAAACATATAAACTACATTGAGTATTGATATAATAAAAATGTACTTAAGCATACATTGGCTAAATAGCAAAATTGCTTTGGCAAAATCCTATACCACCTATTCACAATATTGAGCAACAAAAATAATATTGCACAAAGCTTATCTGGCAATCTTATTATAGCGCCATCTTTTGTAATTGTCGTGTATTACGTTGTCTCTCAGATTACGATCGAATCATTTTCGAAGAAAGAAATTATTTATATTACATCAAAAATACCAAGAATGGAGCGATGTTAGTTATTCATTCACATTCCAAGCCTTTGACCAGACTTTAGGACTGTTACCGTAGAATCATTATGAATTTACTAAGACAAAAATTTCATTGGAGCTACGTTAAGGTACTGCGAGAGATAAACTCTATCCCTACTTTCTTCGTACCATATCAGCTTAGAATTGAAATTCACATTCGTCGTGCAATATCGCATCGAAAATTAAGTAGCATTTCTATCCGAGGTCGATGGACGAATGTTGCATAGTACATATTGGTTATCAACAGCTCGGTGATCGGATGGGCTGCTATTGTTCCCGAAGAGAGCCTCCATTTCCGCACGTCTCATGCGAACGTCACTACCGTGTGACACTTCCGACTGTAATTAATAAATATAAATTATCGGAAAACGAATGAGCTATAATCGTTGCATATAGGGAAGCAGGTAGCCTTTGTCTGGCACACTCACAATCGATTTTGGGTTGTTGGACGAAGAACGTGTTTCCTCATGATGTTTTTTTTAGCATATTTATTGTGCACAAGGAAAATTATATTGGTACGAACGCACGACCTCAGGGCTAACAGCAACGCAAGCATAACTTTTGTATATTCGGTGTCCCCTAAGAACAATTGAATCTTAGTAAATTTATGAATGGCTTTGTACATAGGTTCTTTAGTCTCACATAAAAATACTTAAGAGAGTACTGTTTTTCTTACCTGCCTAATACTTTAAATATATCACAATAATTATTTTTACATTATATTATTTGTGAACCTGACATGAAAAATTATTTGTAGCTGGCAAGGTATTTTTCACCACAATCATCATCATCAGATATAGGCTCTATTAATATCTATCAGACTTTTTATTCATAGTCAGTCCCTGTTTGTCTTCCTTTATGCATTTATAATCGACGATTAGATAGATAACAGTTATAAGATAAACTTACCTTAAATTGTTAAATCATAAACAAGCACACAAGACAAAACTAAAGCAAAGAAAAAAAACAAAGCAATAGCAGAAATCTTTAATAATAATAAAAAATACAACCAAAAGTATGATTAAAGCTTCACAGAACATAAGTTCGGTTTGTACAAAATTAACAAAATCTATGCTAAAGGTTAGTGATCTATAAACAGTCAAGGTGTATCCAGATGAAAAAATGAAATAGATTAAATTTGAGACCTTCCTTTTTCAAATTTAAAATATTAAAAGATTGTTTGAGTGTTAATCGTTATTTTTGCATCAAGATATACCCTCATAAATGACAACTTAAAAAACTTTAACCGCATAATAAAAATAGGTAGATCCTACGATTCTTAATCTAATAATATTAAAATACAATAAATAAAATGCATATTCAGGAATCAACAGCAAATTCAAATATACATTACACTTAACATTTTAACTTTCGTACATAATGTATAGAAAACAAAATTTTGATTATTAACCAATTAATAAAAATATTTACAAATGTATGGAAACTATTTATTCTTTTTTTTCAAAATGTGAAAACAACAGGCCAGTGCACAAAAAAAGCAAACGAAAAGATACAAAGCTACATAAAGACATATACAGATGTAAGTGGGATTTATTGTCTTTGTTGCCATTCAAAAATATTTTTTACCTCTGTATATGCACAGATTACAAATATAACTCATAAGAAAAACATTACAGGGATCGAAGTTACGATAGACGTGACCAATACCAAACTATAGTCGAATTTTTAATTAGACGAAGCTATCTGACAGTAGCTAATGTCACTTAGTAAAATAATGTTGCCACATTTAAAGTAATAGTGATACATTCAGTTCTTGTTCAATCAGATGAATGAACAATGAGTGAGTGTGAATAGTTAATCATTTCAAACTATAAAATAATATTATTACTATTTTAAAATTGTATAAAAGATTTCTGATATAAGTTAGGTACTAGTAGTATGTAACTACAATCAGTTTTTTTGACGGCTGTAATACAGAGCGCGGCGAGGCGACTAGTGCCAACACCGATCGACGCCGCGCGCGTCGGTCGCCATTTTGTTTGTCATTCGGCTTCTAACCTCTGGTCTGATAGCACGAATGTTTTTTCTGCGCTCACGCTGTTTAGTTATAGTTTTTGTTAAGTTTTTCATTACGTTGTGTTTGTGGTTATTGTTGTGTTTTTTTATTTCTATATTGTTTCGTAAAAACGATATGGATCCTCAACCAAGCAGGGCCGCGCCGCCCCTGTGTGCAAAGTGTGCGGCGCACACAGGCGCCAAGACAATAGAGGCGCCGCCATCGAAATTATTTTTGTTACACTTATGACTTACACAACAACATATTCTTGGTATTCGAGTATCGATAAGTACAATAGGCTAGTAAATAACAAAACATAAAACATAATTATTATAATGCGCTTATTGTACAAGTCTTCTAAGATAATATTCACGTGTGTGGTTTAATATTACGCTTTGGGTTTTAGTTAACATTAGTTACGAGCTCAGCGCTAAAATCAAAAGAACCGCCGTGAGTTTGTTTGAATGAATTATGAACGTAGCCCGATACCCGATGCGTTGCGTGCGACGCAAGCGGGTTGGGGTCACGGGGATTCTCCGACTATAATACATATATAAGGAACGAGAGTTCCAAAACAATTGAACAATTAGTCAATTGAAAGTGTGAGCAAGGTGCGCGCATTGATTTTTTATAATAAGATTAAGTTCTAGCTCTAAAAACAATATAAAATTTGTGTGTTAGTATCTAATTGTTTTAACTTGTTTTCACGATGAGTGATAGTAATCATTATAAAAAAAAAGAAATTATCTGGTTACCAGAATTTAATGAGGAAAAGAAAACAAGAAGAAGAACGTGATAAAAATACAACTAAAATAAGTAAATATTTTACGGCTCTACCATCCACTTCCAAAGAATCATTAGAGACAGAAACCAGTCACTTTATCGATGAAGATGTTATAAAATCTGATTCAGTAAACGCTTCAGGTACGTGCTTTTTATGTAATTTTCTACACAAATAAATATAACTTAAGTCTGTAATGTCAAAATAAAAATAAAACATTTTCTTTTTTAATTTCATTACAAGCCCTGCTCAGTTTGGGACTAGACGGCGTTTGAATGTCGAGAAATATTCATTTATTTATTTATTTTACCATACATAATTATGAGACTGTTTCATAAAAATCGACAATTTTTTTTTCTTTATTATATCGAAAATATAGTTGCAAAAGGTGAAAAGAAAATACTGTGAAAGATTGAGCTCTTAATATTAATATGAAGACGTGCCGCATTGTGAATTTCAATTTCCCATTCAAATAACATGGGAACAACGTTCTATTGGATTTTAGAAATTTTTAACTCACGTTAGAGATAATATTTTTAAATCATCAAAACTTATTCTTATAGAGAATTTAACGCTCTACAGAAAAGGTCTGTTACAGTTTTTCGATGTATGTATTTATTTTTTCTAAAGTTAAAAAAAAACACTATAACAGTAAAATTACACTTTTTACTCTACATAAATTGTATCATACAAATGTTTCATAAAGTTAATGGTTGCTTCGGGAAATAAGAAAATGTAAAAATTTTTGATCGATCCAACTTTAATGTTAAATAACTTTTGAAAAAATAAATATATCGAAAAACTGTAAGAGACCTGCTTCGTAGAGCGTTAAATTCTATATTAGAATGAGTTTTGATCATTTAAAAATATTATCTATAACGTGAGTTATGAAATTCTAAAATCCAAGAGAACGTTGTTCCCATGTTTTATTTAAATGGGAAATTGAAATTCACGATGTGGCACGTCTTAATATCAATATTAAGAGCTCAAACTTTCACAGTATTTTTTTTTCACCATTTGCAACAATATTATCGATATAATTCAGAAAAAAAATAGTCAATTTTTTAGAAACTGTCTAATAATTATTCATAGATAGATAAATCAGTTTATTCAGACAGGTAGAAAGGTACTCATGTTTGTCTGTCTTTAATTTAAGATGATGCCGCCGAAGTAACGTCCGTCCCTCTGCCTGATACACCATTGTCACCGCCAAGACAATTATCGTCACCAATACCAACTTTTTCCAAAGATGACCCTGGACTCTGGCCAAAAGTTTTCAATTCTACTGTGATCCAGTATTTAATAGAAAATCCGATTAAACAAATCAAACTGTATAATTTTCCGCGTGACTCTTCGGGGCGAAAATTTTCCGAGTATTATTATGAAAGGCATTTAGGAAACGGTGAAAAGTATCACAGAGAGTGGCTGCTGTATTCAGTGTCCAAAAATGCCGTTTATTGCTTCTGTTGCAAGCTATTTGAATCAAAACATAACAATAAATTCTGCGAGGGAATTAGTGATTGGCAACATCTCGCTTTGTATTGCAGCCGACATGAGAAAAGTTCTGCTCATTTCAATAATTATAAAAAATGGACAGATTTATGTCACGCTCTTAAAAATAAAAACACTATTGATAGTATTCAACAAAAACTTTTAGAGGTTGAAAAACAGCGCTGGTACGATGTAATCAAAAGAATAATATATGTGGTCCAATTTCTAAGTTCACAAAATATGGCTTTTCGTGGCCAAAGCCGAAAATTATACGACCGTAACAATGGTAATTTTTTAAAATGTATTGAACTGTTAGGAAAATTCGATCTTTCAATGACTGAACATATACGACGCGTAACTAATGATTCGGATTTCAAAAATATGCCGACTTATCTTGGAGATAAGATCCAAAATGAAATAATTTACATACTAGGTAACAAAATTCAACATTTTATTTTAAATTTATGTCAAATTAATAAATATTTTTCAATAATACTTGATTGTACACCTGACGTTTCACACGTAGAGCAAATTAGTATTATAATAAGATTTGTCTATTTTAACACAGAAAATAGAAAGTTGGAAATAAGCGAGCATTTCCTAGCTTTCTGTCCAATTATCGATACAACTGGCGCTGGATTAACGTCATTTATAGTAGAAAAACTAGCCGAAATTAATTTAGACATAAACAACTTAAGGGGACAGGGCTATGATAATGGATCAAATATGCGCGGTAAGAATAATGGTCTTCAAAAAAGATTGCTGGATCTAAATCCCCGCGCTTTCTATGTACCGTGCGCTAGCCATAGTTTAAATTTAATAGTAAACGACGCTGCCAATCTCAATTATCATACGACTGGATTTTTTAGTATTGTACAAGAATTATACAAATATTTTTCGTCCTCTACCAAAAGATGGGATATATTAAAAAAATATGTCTTAAATCTGACCTTAAAACCATTGTCTGAAACAAGATGGTCAAGCAGAATAGATGCTATCAAACCGCTGTTTACAAATTTACCAGAAATTTATGATGCCTTATATGAAATATCAAATGGTATATCATATGATCAGAAGGCAAAATATGACGCTAAATGTCTAGCAGAAAAAATATGCTCCTTTTCATTCATTTGTTCACTAAATATATGGCATATGATTTTGACAAAAGTAAATTTTGTGAGCAAAATTCTGCAGTCCATCGATATGAATATGCAAGTTGCTTTAGATGCTTTAACGGAATTGAAGAAGTTTTTGATAAAAATTAGAACCGACGCAAATTTTGAGGAAATTGTAAATGATGCCATGAAAATTGCCGAAAAATTAAATGTCGAGGCTGAATTTGAAACTTCCAGATCCAGACCCCTAAGACGTCGTAAGACTCCAAAGAGTTTTGATTATGAACACGAAGATCATACTATAAATGATCTGAAGACCGCTTTTAAAATTAATGTATTTTTCTATATATTGGATCAAGCTTTATCCTCCGTAGATGAAAGATTTAATTTATTAAATAATCAAAATGACGTGTTTAATTTTTTATTCAAACTAAGTGATGACCAAGACCAAGCTAGATTAAGAAGTAGCTGTCATCATTTGCAAAAAAAACTTTCTGCGAATGATTCATTGGATATTAACGCCGATGATTTGTATGAAGAAATTGTGTCGTGTCAGTCTCTTTTCAAAAAATTAAATAATGATGTGGTGAAAATTCTCGAATTTATATATTTAAACAATTTGACAGCTGTTTGCCCTAACATCACCATAGCATTAAGAATTTTGCTAACTATGCCAGTTACCGTAGCAAGCGCGGAAAGGTCCTTTTCTAAATTAAAACTTATAAAAAATTACCTGCGGTCAACAATGAGCCAGGAAAGACTAACAAATTTAGCAACAATATCCATAGAGGAGGCCATATTAGACCAAATAGACATACACGAGATTATTAAGGATTTCACAAACAGAAAAGCGAGAAGAGTGGAAATAATATAATTTAAATATGTTTATATTCTTAGTTCTTACATATTTTACTCTCTGACTCTTGTTATTTTTTTCAAACATAGCATACGTAATACCTAAGTTAAATCAGTATTATTAGAAAATCAGATATTTTGTTATTAATATCTAAGTATACAATTAGATATAACATCATAAATAAAGTATGTAAAAATTAAATTTATTTTTTATTTTTCGCAGTAATTGGCAAGCGGAAGCGAACTGGTTTTACCTATTTAGGTAAATATTATCTAAGTATATAAAACTGGAGAACATTTATTTCGGTCCAAATTAACAAATAATAAAAAAAAACATAAGTTGAAACATGAAGGCGCTTCATAGGTTTCGCACACAGGCGCTGTGGGGGGTCGGCGCGGCCCTGCAACCAAGCACGTCAAGCCAAAGCTTGTCTCCAAGAAAGAAGAGACCACGGATTGCTTTAAGCGTTACCGAAAAAGTTATGATACAAAACGTCTACAAACACGTATTTGAGGAGAAAGCTGCTTTACTATTACCTATTGAGGCTCCCGAAAAAAAAGAATGTGTTTCGAAAACAGCTGACATTTTGGGAATTAGCGTGACCTCAGTTTACAGTGTATTAAAAGAATACAAAGAAAATGAACAATTTAAGTCTCCCGAGAAACGTGGACCGAAACACAATTTCAAAGATAAATTAGACGATTTTACTTTGGCCGCTATAAGGCGAAAAGTTCATAATTTTTTTTATGCAAATGAGTCACCCACCATTATAAAGGTAACAAACTTTATTCCATCGACTGCATTATAGGCCTCCTACGCACTGGCGACCATGGTCGCCGCGACCTAGCCGCGGCGGCCAGTGAATTCTGGACTTTATATGGCAATCGCTATAGCCCCTACGCACTTAGCGGCCAGCGACCAGCGGCCACCGTTGGCCGCGGCGTCCAATTTGATGCCACGCGACCAGCGACCAATCGTGGCCGTCGAGAACATCACTTCTGTATTAAAATTCATCAGTGCTACCGCATCGGCCGCGGCGACCAGACGTGTAGCTAGCTACAGAGTGATTATTTTACAATGGCCAATTTCGACACGGAAAGGTTCATAATTGAAGTTGAAAATAGAAGAGGTTTATGGGATTTAGCATCAAATGATTACTCCAATAAAGATGTTAAGCGGCAGTTGTGGCTTGAAGTGGTCGATATATTTGGCGGTGAATCCATGGAAGATAAAGAAAAGGCAGAACTTGGTTAGTATTTTATTTTATTATGCCTAAGTAAATTAATAATGCGATGAACTACAATAAACGCAGCAGGTGCTGTAGTAGCATTCGACACGTATATGTGACATGAGTGATTTTTTTTTAAAGTTGTTCCGTTCATTCAAAATCTAAGAAATTTTAGCAAATAGGTAATTGTCAAAAGTATAACTATTTTATTTCTACTATTTTTCGCTTTGCACATGAGTTTTGACAATTATTTGCTAAAATTTCCCAGGTTTTCGTAATGATTGGAATAACTTTTTAAAAAGATTACTCATACCGCATGTGCGTTCGACGCCATTTTGTTTACGGCGCGCAATGGCGGCTCGCGGCGAGCACCCATATATTTACAAATTGTGCCAGGGCAAGCGACCATCGGTACTGAAGTAGTTTGCGAATATATCTCGATATTCGGTTGATGTTCTATTTGCTCTATTAGGTAAACATGCAGGTATTTCTAATAAAGCCTCTGGTACAGTTAACGTGTCCTTGAAATCATATCCGTCTCTTTCTCGCACAAAATTATGAAGCACACATAGAGCTTTTATAATCACAACTGCAAATTCTTTCTTGACGTTTAGGGGTCGGTGAAGAATCTGCCATTTATTGGCTAATATTCCAAATGTACATTCAATATAGCGGCGGGCACGGGATAGTCGATAATTAAAATTAGTCTTTACATTATTCAAGTTTCTCCCAGCATACGGTCGCATCATATGTTCCGATAGTGAAAACGCCTCATCACCCACTAAAACGAACGGCATTGATTGGCCATTTTCTTTGATGGGGTTATTGCTCGGAATATCGAGATCATTATTTAAAAGCCTATGATAAAATACAGAGTCTTTGTAAATTGACGAATCACTGCATTTGCCGTATGCTCCAATATCTAAGTAAAGAAATTTATAATTTACATCACATATTGCAAGTAACACGATTGAAAAATAATTCTTGTAATTGTAATAAAGAGATCCCGAATGTTGTGGTTTGATAACTCTAATGTGCTTGCCGTCGATGGCTCCGATGCAATTAGGAAATTGGGCGTATTTTTGAAAACCTTCAGCCGTTTGAATCCACTTATCTCTGGTCAATTGTGGCATCACAATTGGTTTTAATATCTCCCATATTGCTTCACAAACATCAAATACTATTTCCGATACTGTAGGAAGCCCTATACGGTATTCATGACTTATATGAGATAAAGAACACCCAGTAGCCAAATACCTGAAAATAAAATTCACATTAATAAACATAATATTAGTTTTGTAATATGTACTACATTTATTTATTGATTTACAGGCATTACTCTCCAAAAAAGATGGAAAAACCTTAGAGACTGTTTCACAAGAGAGCTGCGCCGTCTTAAAGATGTCAAAAGTGGTTCTGCTGCAAAACGTAAATCACAATACACCTATTTCAACCAATTACTGTTTTTGAAATCAGTGCTGGACACAAACGCAACAGAAAATAGTCTCGAAGAGGCAAGTCAAGAAAATGAAAGTGCAAGATCTTCTGATCTTGAGACTCAACAGTCTGCATCAAAGTCGCTTAGAACAAAAAGGAAGAAAAAAATACCAAACGAAGAATCCGATACAGACCCTCTAATTTCAGTTCTGCATAAGACCATAGCGACTACACAGAATGATTCAAATTGTGACAGACTGTTTCTTTTATCCCTCCTCGAAAGATTTCAAACAATCCCTGCTGCAATGAAGACCAAAGCGAAAATGGAAATCATGGAAATTATAGAAAAATACCAACCGAACTGTACACCTACAAATCGACCGAGTTATTCAGGTTATTCTACTACCAACAGGATATCAGATGATTCAAATTACAGCGATACTCATACTCATTATTCTGATATTTCTCAAAATTCAGAAATGATAGACCTATTTCCCAATTTGAATGATTAATTGTTCACAATTGCCATTTTTAAGTTATGAAAATACAAATAATTTGATTATCTACTTCAGTTTTTTAATATTTAAAAACATGTTATAAGCAAGCCCTTTTCCTCTCCTTTTCAAAGTCGTAAAGTAGAATACTACTGAACAATAGTTCATAAATTTTTTAAAGTGGCAAAACCTTGGTCAATGAATTATACAGGTTGTTGTGAAAAACGCAACAGTGGTGGTTTAGGGTGATTCAGAATCAAGTCTTGTATAATTCAAATTTACAAAAAAATCCGTTTAGCAGTTTAAGTAAAAAAAAGGCCCTATCACATTATTTTTATTTTTCCTGTACACAATACTCCATTCCGAAACATCCTTTAAAATATATCACGTATTTTTTAAACATTCTGTATTTAAAAAAGAAAAAGCTTACCTTATTGTTATTACTAATTTTTCTTCTGCTGGAATGCATTTCCGATAGTTGTTACCAGTTCCAGTAATTTTTGGTTTTATTGTATCCAGTAACAGGTTAAAAGTATTCGTTGACATTCTCATGTAATTAAAGAATCTCTTCTCATACATTTTTAAATCCAAAAAATAAGTATAATATAATCCTTTAGTCTTTCTCTCGCAAAGTAATGGATGCACCCAAAACTGTCTTTTACGTGAAATCTTCCGTTTTCGTTTTCGTAGTAAATGCACAAGCACAGTTAGCGTGATTATCTTCTGCACGTCCATCTTGACACATCCTTGGAAGTCGACTGCAAATTTTTCGGCCGTCCACATGTCGCGCTTGCCTACGCACCGGCGACCATGGCCGCGGCGGCCTGGCCGCGTCTATGGTCGCCAGTGCGTAGGCAGCCATATTCTGTGTCCACAACAGCGCTTCCAGATTCACTGTAATTACAGTAGATTTACTGTATTTTAGACTTTTCTACTGTATACTGTAATGATAAAATACAGTGTATGAAAATACTGTATTTAATTTCCGTTCATATAAATTATCAAATTTAATACGTAAAACGTATTAGAAAATACGAAATATAAATTTGCAACCTAATCTAGAACCCAGAACCACTGACCTTCATCTATAGACAATGTAGAGTAGGATTGTTACCTACATATTATAGTTTACGTGCGGGGAATTCCCCAATGAATCAGAACTAACGCTTAGCAAAAACTAACCGTCTCTGTCTGACATAGCAACATTGTATTTTCCATCTCATTCATTACGTTTTGATTGGTATGGTTTTATTGCTTTGCTACTGTAGCGAGCGCCGAGCAAATACATTTATTTCAGATTAAGACTTTTTAATTCTTGTGGATAGCGTAAATTAAACCAAAACTATATAATTGTAAAAATGGGCTCAAGTAGTGAAGAAGGTGATGTTCGTGGCGCTGCTGGTCCGTCAAGTGCAAAAAAGAAATATCGGCAACAATTTCGAGAGGAATGGCTTAAAATCCAAGACTTTCATAAGTGGCTAAAACCTGACAAAAAATCTGCTTATAAATGTTTTTGCACTGTCTGCGATTCTTCATTAACTGCCGATCTAGGTGCTATTAAAAGACACGGTGAAGGTGCTAAACATAAACTTCGTTTTCCTGGGCAATCGTATGTGCGTACCATTGATAATATTTTTAAGAGTCAGCAACGTGTAAGTGATGATGAGCGACGAAAAATTGCGGAAATTAAATTATCGGCCTTTATGGCAGAACATAAAATATCCCACATAGTGATGGACCATCTTGTTGATTTACTTCCAAAAATTTTCCCAGATTCTAAAATTGCAAGTAACATTAATCTTAAGCATACTAAATTACAAGCAGTAGTAAACAACGTCATCGGAGCTTCTGAAAGAGAATGTTTAGTAGCAGATTTGAAACGCGAAAAGTTTTCTATAATGGTAGATGAAAGTACCGATGTTGCCAGTGTGAAAACAATGTGTATTGTAGTCAAATATTATGATCTTAGTTCAGGGCGAATAGTAAGTCGATTCTGGGATCTTATTCAAATGTTTAATGATACTAATGCTGGACGGATTGGTGATTACTCAGCTACGGCTGAAAAATTATTTAATTCAATAATAAAATCATTTCAAGACGGAAATGTACCTTTTAGAAAATATGATCGGATTTGGATCAGATGGCTGTAATACTATGATGGGCTGTCGTAATTCAGTGTCCTCACGGTTTAGACAATTGTGCCCAGGTATTATCGTGCTAAAATGTCTATGCCATTCCTTACATTTATGTGCCTCAGACGCTTGTAAAGAATTGCCTCATGATGCAGAAAAACTGACTCGATTGATTTACAATTATTTCAAAAATAGTAACAAACGTCAAGCAGAGCTAAAAGAATTTCAAGTATTTACGGACACTAATATTCACAAAATTCTACGTCCAGCTCAAACGCGTTGGTTGTCGCTGTCCAGTGTTGTGAACAGAATCATGGAGCAATGGGATGCCTTGCGATTATATTATGACGATAAATGGCTAGAAGAACAGGATTGCCAAGACATTCACAATCTTTTGAATGATCCCATCATCAAGGCATATTTTTATTTTTTATGTTGGATGCTGCCAAAATTTACCCGCGTTAACGTATTCTTTCAAAGTGAAGATCCCGTTATTATTGAAGCCCATAACAAAATGACTGAGCTATACAGAGAACTGTTATCGTTATTCATAACTCCAAATTATATTAAAAACACCCCACTCGACGCAATTGACCCTACTAATAGTCAACATTACATAAATCTGGAAGATATATACCTAGGATTGGGTGTTGCTAATCAAGTTGCTGTCCTAGAGCTACATGCGCATACCGAAGAAGTTACAGTGATGAAACAGAAATGCCTCAACTTTATCGTTAAAGCATGCGTGGGCATTCGGAAAAGATACAGTTTAAATGACCCAGTTTTGAGCTCAATCGCAAAATTGAATCCTGATTCATGCTTATCAGATAATAGAGAACAGTCTTTGTCTTCACTGTACCCAGTGTTACCAAGGCTGATACCCCCAACTTTAAATGATCAACAGACGTTAGATGACGAATGGAGAAACTTGATTTTTATTGCGAATGATATACATTGGAATACAAGTCAACCAGCAGACTTATTTTGGCATCAGGTAAAATTTAATTATATAAGAACTCTATTTACATAAATTTGCACATATTTATGTTCACATTTCATAAATTTGTTTTTTATTTCAGTTATCTCAAATGAAAGATAGCAATGGAGACATTAAATTCCATTTGCTGCCTCGATTTATGCTGCAAGTATTATCTTTGCCTCACTCAAACGCTGAGTGCGAACGCAAGTTTAGTGAAATTAATAATATAAAAACCAAGCAGAGGAACTGTCTGATCACAAATACTATTAAAGGAAATATGTTAGCTCAGCAAGCCATTCGTCGAAATTCTGAAAACTGCGTCAAATTTAATCCCACTAATGAAATGATTTTAAAGATGAATGCAAAAATTTATCAAAATCATGAGGAAATTATTTTAGAATAACTTACTTATATGTACAAATAAATTAATACTGCATCTTATTTTTCTTTTAATATTTAAACAAACTTTTACTGTAATTTTACTGTAATCGAATTTGGAATCTGCTGTATTGTTTTAAGAAACTACTATATTTTTTAGCTGACAACACTGTAATTTTACTTTTGGGATCTGGAAGCACTGGTCCACAATAATGATCTTTGTAAAACCAAAGTATTAGATTGCGTAGACTTCCTTACTCAAAAACGTTTTTTTATTACTTCACAGATTCTTAAGGTTGTCAATGAAGACCCAGACTTACCCAATTTTTCTTGGAGTACATTAAGAAATGTTATGAAACATTTAAATTTCAAATATGTCACAAAATCAAGAAAAAGCATGTTAATTGACAGACAGGACATTATGTTATGGCGCCAGCGATACCTTCGCAAAATTAAAGAGTATCGAAGGGAAGGAAGGTATATTTATTACCAAGATGAAACCTGGATCAACGAAGGTAATTACAATTTTCTGTTTTCTTTACATTAAATTGTACTTTCATTAACTAATTGTTATTTTTCATTATCTTGTAGGTCATGCACCGAAGAAGGCATGGATTGACCAGACAGTGTTATCGACTCGCCAGGCCTTCCTAGATGGCCTGACTACTGGCTTAAAACAGCCTTCAGGAAAGGGCAAACGATTAATTATCGGCCACATAGGTGGGGAAGAAGGATTCGTAGAAGACAGCTTACTAATATTTGAAGCCAAAAAAAGTAAAGAAGACTATCATCAAGAAATGAATGCCGATTCCTTTGAGAAGTGGTTTAGTGGAGTCTTGCCAAAACTAAAACCAAATTCCGTTGTAGTGCTAGATAATGCCCCCTACCACTCCAGGAAACTAGAATCGCTGCCTAAAATGTCTTGGACTAAACCTAAAATACAAGAGTGGCTAACGAGCAAAAATATTTCATTCGAAGCAACAATGGTTAAAGCTACTCTTATAGACATTGTACGGCAGCACAAACAAGATCATTTCGAAAAGTATGTTGTGGACGAGATAGCAGCGCAGCATGAGATAATTTTTTTACGTCTGCCCCCATACCACTGTGAGCTTAATCCCATTGAGTTGGTATGGGCGCAGGCTAAAGGATATGTTGCAAAAAATAATAAAACCTTCAAAATGACAGAAGTAAAAAAACTTTTTGAAGAAGGACTTAAACTAATCACACCTGATAAATGGCGTAGCTGCGTGTCTCACATAATGAAAGAAGAAGATAAAATGTATGGTCTCGACGACATGATCGACAATGTTTCAGACAGATTTATTATTAATGTCACCGAAAGTGATAGTGATGATTTTTTATCTGATGATGAATAAAAACAAATTATGTAATAAGCGATGTTTATTATTTTCATTACCAACCTATAATTGTTATATTATTAAACATCTATAGTATAAACTACATGATATATTGAGAATAGGACAGTCTTACAAGTTTCCTCGCAATGATTTCCTTAATGTTAAAAACAATTGGTATTTAGTACTAAACTCGTTGGTATGTTCAAAGCACGACTAAAATTCGAACCCGTATCCGATATCGGCAGTACGCAACGTTAACTATTCACTAGGCAATCGAGGCAATTTTATTAATTCAGGAGTTTTTTCAATCATTCACAAATCATGTGACAAACACAACACTATTTTTATTTCATTAAAAACTGACAACACCGTAAACGTCAGTTGATATCGTCTAATTAAAAATTCGACTATAGTTGGTAAAGCGATGACATAAGGCCACGTGACCATTTGCATACATACCCGTCTTTTTAATAAAAAATAGAAGTAGGGTTTATGTTGAAGTTGTATGTAAATAAGTTTATATTGATCAATATGTATTTTATATAATACAGATAGCTATACAGTTTTATGAGTTATAATTATAAAATAAAGAGAAGACTAATCTAAGCTACAACTAAACAATTAATAGCAAAACGTATACACAGTTACAGTAGGCAAGAGACAAAAAAAAATATACAAAATGTTTCCAATTGGAAAATGTGAAAATTTGTAATAAAATTGAGACTTTCTTCGGTGGGATGATGCATAAGCCTCATATTTTTAATTTTTTGTCTCAGATTTTTTGAAAATTAGTTATTAATACCAAATGAGCATGGCATATAAATTTCATTTTTGAAATTTTATATGTTTTAATAATTTATTTTAATTTTTGATGCACGAGTTGAAGATAGTACCTTTGTAGCTATCTACTGGTAGAATTAAATATCTACAACTGGAAGTAGTTTCATTTATTGAATATCTTATTTAAGTTATAGTAATTCTTCATCATCAGATCACACATTCTAAATTCAACAAAGTTCTAACAGATTTATTTCTCAAAAACATAATAAACTTTGTTTACAAAAAAGTTAAATTATACATATATGTTAACAGCCCGTGTTATCCTTAATATGATGATTATAAGTGAACAAAAAAAAAAAACGTGTACTATTGTGTATAGCTCACTTGATTTCTAGCTCCATCCTGGCAGACCACATACTCTGTAAGGGTGACGTCAGCTGCCCCGCCCGATTCCAGCGGAATGGGGTTTGCTCGGAAGTGTTCCAGCATGTCATGGACGTTTGGAAACCAGAGATGCTGCACCCGGCATTGTCCAGATTCGCTTAGTGTCATTCGCAGGTGTTTAGCTCGGCCCTGAAAATTTATTACAAAAAATAGTGACTGATGGTTTTTTTATATACAGATTTATAATGTACTTTTGCAATGGTAATAGAGATAGATTAATATAAATTTAAAATAAATTGTTTTTAGGGGGTTAAGTGATATTTCATTGCCTATAATATAGGACCAGACTTGGAAACGAAATTATCCTAGTATGTACAAGGGTATTTTTTTATTGTATTATATTATACTGAAATATAAAAAGTGTTACTATATTTATAAAATTTTATATAATATAGACTATGCTATACATTTATCAATTTGTATATAAAATTTGGCCAAATCCATATTATTTGACATTTAAAACAAACCTGGAAATTAAAAGTGAGCACATATTCTCCCCGCCGTGTCTCACTCTGCCTAACAAGGTAGCACCCATGAGCTGCAGTTCCACCAGCCAAAACACATGCTGCAGCTGCCGACCGGGCTAACGTCCCATGGAACCATGGCCACTCACTAAGAGACACTCGGGGGCCTGCATCACATCCCTCTTCTGCTATTGAACCTGAAATTTTACAGGCACGTATCTAGTCAATTCCATAAGTTGATGTATGTACCAGAGATAATATTTAACTGTCAAAATATTGAATAAAAATAATTATTATTCAGATTTGTATAAATTTATAGTAAACTTTTAAAGATTTTTTGACTAACAGCAAAGAACAACCAGTTTTTGTCAACGCCACGTCTCTTGAATATGTCTAAAACTATATATACCTAGGAAAACAAATATCGTTTAGTCAAAACCGACATGTGAATGAAACAAACAGACGTGTAAACCTAGCATGGAACAACTATTGGGCTTTAAAAGAAGTACTGAAATCCAACCACTAACCAACCACCATAACTTAACTATAAAAAGAACAGTCATGGACACATGCATACTTCCATGTTTGTCATACGGATGCCAAACCTGGATTTTTAACAAGGCGTCAATAAAAAAGATTGGAGTATGCCAAAGGGCTATGGAGCGCTCCATTCTTCAATTGAAGCTTAAAGACAAAATAAAAAACAAGGTGATACGAAGTCGTACAAAAATAAAAGATGTTGTAACTTATACAAAAAGGCTAACATGGAAATGGGCCGGTCACATTGGCCGCATTTGTGATGGCAGATGGGTCAAAAAGACCCTTACTTGGAAGGGCCCAGTGGGAAGAAGAAATAGACGATGCCCACCGAAAACTTGGGAAGGTGATATAAAAGGGATAGCAGGAAAAAACTGGAAAATTGTCGCATCAAATAGGGATAAGTGGAAGAATCTGGAGGAGGCCTTCACTCCATTGGAGGTCGAGTACAAGTGTAAAACTTAAAAGACATGGACTTACTGTAGTTATAGTGTACTCGAATAAAGGCTATTTTTATTTTTTATTTATTTTATAATTAAAAGATAGATGTGTTTGGGGTGTATAAAATGTTCCACACTATGCTTAATTTATATATATTATATAATAATAAAGCAACATAGAAATGTAAAGATGCAATTTTACCCCACCAAAGAAAACTATATTAACTTGGACACATCCAATATTTACATAACTTTAACAAGACAATTTGCATATTTCACAAGAATGTATCCATTTGAAACATTTTAAAATTGAAACTAACCTAATTCAGCCTCTTCAGGAGTGTCCGTAGCTAAATCGGCATTACTAGTACTTGAGGGTAAATCTCTTCGTGGTGGCAGATCTGGGGGTGCCGGCTCTGACAGTCCAGCTAGGGAATCGGGTGGTGGCTGGGTTGTAGGTGCCGATCTCATACAGTACTTTATTGTTGCTAACCATGACTTCATGTCATCTACATCAGCTGCCTCAATTACATATTCCATATTATTGTCAGCCTAAAAAAAGGCATTAATAAAAATTAATTGTTAGATAACAAAATATGTTTAATATCATGATTGCCAGAACTAAACTCACAAGTAATAATTCCCTACAGATATTTGAATAAGTAATTTTGGTCAATCTTTACTCTATTGTTATTGTTTACAATTGATATATTATCAAACTTGTTTTAGATTACAAATTTAAGTTTTATAAATAGTAATAGATGAAATAAATTACAATATTATAGGTTGTGAATACCTTTAAAACAAAAGTATTTTCATGATCAGGCATCTCTAAAGCAGTGGTTTCCCGAGCCTCAGATATTAGGAAACAAAATACACCACTTCTAGGCTTTTGAGCTTTAGGTGGAGAGTAAAACTCTAACATGTAACCACCTACAGTCTTAACTAATGCTAGCCTACATTTTTCCCATTTCTGTGGGCCTCCAGGTTGCTCCAAGCTTTCTGGAGTTAAATAATTAACTAATCCTTCTTTTCTACATTCAACAACAATTTTCGCTAACTTAGTTTTATTGTGTTTGTTCAAATTCGTTGATAATTCTACTTCGTCTGAATGCTGTTTTTGGAACAGACCCTTACCACGCCGCAAACCCTTAAACGATAACCTTCTGAAAAATGGTTTGTGATGTGTTTTCGGCGACTCAGTGTCTTCTGAATAGTCACTTTCGTCGTGTCCAGTATGTGTGCCATTTGGTAACTTGTGCTGTGCCTTTAGCTTGTTAAATTCGAAGTCAAAGTGTTCAGAAAAGCATTCGACGAATTTTTTCAGTAGTTCCTTTTGAGACGTGTATGGGCGAGCCGTGCCGTCTATTGTGCTGGTTTGTATGTATTGTACGCAAGCCTTGGCGAAGTCCTGAGCGGCAGTTTTGGCCTGACGCTCACAGAACTGGACCCATCCGTCGGGATCGCCGTCGGACGGGCCGGCCATGGCAAGCAATTTCTTTATTAGCTCCACTTGTATAACTATTTTTTACTCTACGTTAAACTTAACATTGAAACACTTAACTACTTAAATATTTATTAGCACTTTTTTACTGTATTAATAACAATTATGCTATCAAAATAAGATTCATGATGCTCTCAAGAATCTCGCGAAAACAACTTTAATTACCATATGAAAAAATTGTCATTTGAAAATTGTATCGTTACCCTACTTTGTATTTTTTGATGGGCTTAGTGTAAAAATAATATTATAATTAATACGATTTACTAACAAAATATATGTTTAGTGAAATTTTAACTTAGTTCGACTTTTTTTTTAAATGGCAAGAAAGAACATAGTACGAATAAATTTCAACAGATGACGCTAAGCGCTATAAAAATTTTCCCCCATGTTTTTTTTTTTTTTTTTTTTATGGCTCTGGCACGATTTGTACATTAGCCAACGTCAAGTAAAGGATTTTTTATAATTCGTGCTTGTCTTTAGAAATTCGACAGTGTCCTCTATGTACGGTTTAAGCACTCGCCCGGTACCGCACAACCCTCCCAAAGGCCAAGAACAAATTTAAATTAAATTAAAACTTGCCCTCGAACCGGGAATCGAACCCGGTACCCCTCACCTAGCTGCCACTTAATAAGACCGCTAGGCTATGAGGCCCCCACCATGTTTGTTTGTTATCTTGTAACGTATGTGTATGAGATCAGGGTTGGACTAATGGGTCCTGAACATGCAGGTAAAAATTCAAAACGAAGGGAACGAATAGTAAAAATTTGTAGATTAAAAAGGAGGTGCCTTAATGACACCATGCATTAGGTATCCTACTGATATTGCATAGTCTATACGTTTAGAGGTAAAAATGAATCAATGAGAACTCAATTAAACATATAAGATAGGAATAATTTTAGTTTTAAAATGATCTATGTATTGTGTTACATATTAATATAAAATACTTTAGTCGGAATAAAACTAAAAATATTAAATAACTATGGAAGTTGATTTCCATCAATAAATAAATAAAACTATTGAGTATAATATTTTATACATGTCATGTGCACAAATAGATAATATATATTATGGATGCATCCGATACCGATGCCGATACCGATATATCGGCGATACTTTGGGTTTGCCGATATATCGGCATCGGCGATATTTTCATTGCCGATTCGCCGATACTTTTCAAATTTCACGCTTTAAAAAAATAATGTAAACGCGCATTTTGTATGATCTAGTTTGTTGCAAACGAGGCACGGACAATTGTTGCCCAAAAAATCCCCGCGTTTTATTCAGTTTGTTGTCTCTATCATTCGCTTGGGGACAAAGCATTATTATTTATGTATATATTATGTATTTCATTTCGCTAATCACTATTTATTTATTAACACTTTGTTGCATTACAATATAAAAATTGAACATAATTAAATGAAAAGGAGGGCCAAAATACATATTACATATAAACTAAAAAAATGCATGAAAAATAAAAAATGCACATGAATCACGATAATTTACAATCAGTCTGACGTCAGTTAGTTAGTACAAAAAACTCTTGTTGGATTGATTAGTAGACCAAAATTTTTACTCGAGTCAACTATCTTTGCCAGCGCATAGTTATTAGATATTATGGCTTGCGGGAGATCATTGAGACTTTATTGAACGTAGATTTGAAGATCATTTAGTTGGCTTTTAACTGCTATTGCGAGTAGTATTTTTTCGATACCAAATTTAATAAAATACAGAATTACAACAATGTTATCATTGTTAATTTTAATTATTAACAGTTATTTAAATTATTTTAATTTAATTATTACTCTTAATTCTTAATTTTAGTAACAAAACCATTCAAATTATTTAAAGTTTGTGACTATTTATTGTATATAGGGGAAGGTAGGGACCCTTCGTACGGTTTTCACATTTTATTTTTTATTTTTTTTCTTTTTCCATGAATCAATCATCTGATAGCTTAAATTTATAGTCTTACTATCTGAGATTCATATTAAAAAATGACAAATGATTTCATCTGATGTTTCAACCATAATTATGATTTAAACTAAATCTGGAATACGTACGAATCTGCTCCATCAACGGGGCACCTTCGTACAGTGTTGGGGGTACATTCGTACGCTGTGGGGTAGTTCCGTACGTGCGATTAAAACGACACATATAAATCAAAATTCATTTATTAGCAATGAAATTAAACACAAAAATAAAGATTTAACTTCTATTAAACAAAAATAAAATAGTTTTCTTATAGTGAACAAAAATTACATAGCTTTTCTTAAGTAAAACAAAATTTAATTAGTTAGGTATCTTAAATTTAGAATCACATTATTTAATCTTTGGTGCGGATTAGCACTTCTTATTTTCGGGTGTGCAGTATAAATTCGTGGTTTTCCTGGCCGTCGTCGTCATTTTGTTTGTTTTATTACTTCTTACAACATGCGGATAGGGTCGACACGCTTCTGGTGTCAAAACTGACTTCGAAGGAACTACTATTTGATGGATTGGTAAATTATTCAAAGCATCTGGTTCACAAGCATCAAAATCAACCTTAATAAAGATAATAAAAATAGGTATTAATATATATTTACATCGACGATAGCAATGATAGCAACACAGGACAAAGTTAATGCAAATATTAGCAATTAGCACACTAACACAATCTTTCCTACTACCAGAGGGTTTAGTCAAGATGCCTTAACCGACACATATAAGAATTTTTCTTATCCGATTTATATTGAAATGATTGTTCTCCTTGCGTAGAATTACAATTTAAATTTGCATTTCCTTGACCTTGTATATCGAAATGCGTTGACAGCGAATTTTTGCTGATGCTAAAATTTGATGTAGGTCGCTGTTGTTTTGCAATTGAATCTTTCCAGGTTTGATTATTACCTGTTTCCAAGGCATATAATGAATTTTCTGAATTATGTGAATAAAGTACCGGTGAATCTATATGCGTTTCTAGAGAATGTAATTTGAGATATATCTCTCTCTTTTGGCGCCTATATATAGCTTTCTTCTCGTAATATATATTTTCATACTCCGAGTAGGATCCGCCATGATCAGCATGTCGATATGGGTTTTAAAAATTAAATCCCATCGCCACTTTATTTCTTCTAGCGCATCTTCAAGATCATATCTGTCGGATTCGGAGTATACATTAGATAGCTCAAAAATCTTATCAAGCGAACTAAATAAAGCTGCTTGTTTGCGAAGCAACTCTTCGGTTTTTCTTGAATGCCTGATGGTTTTCAGACCGTCGGTAAACGAAGCTTGGAATAAATTCTCCATTATGCTTAATATAATAATTAACTAAACGCTTTGTAAATATTGCATTGTAAATTCTTAAATGCTTATGCTTGATAAAATGCTCAATGAATGCTTCAGATCATTCTTAGTAAAATTATTCTCACAAATGAGATAATTCTCAGAAATATAGTGCTCAAAACAAATGGAAAGGACTTACTGTAGATGCCTCCGTATGTTGAAGATTGACGTCCGTTGCCTTCTTCTAGGTTAAAAGGACGCTGATATACTTTTTGACCGCTGTGGGTCTTTGAAAGTGCTGGGAGCGGACTTGCTGTCGCTTGCCTCCCTATTTGACCGCTGTGGGTCCTTGAAAACGCTGGGAGCGGACTCACTGTCGCTTGCCTCCCTATTTAACCGCTGTGGGTCCTTAAAAATGCTGGGAGTGGACTTCCTGTCGCTTGCCTCCCTATTTGACCGCTATGGATCCTCCTTCTCCTTGCTCTCCTCTTTTCTATTGATGCGGATGATAGTTTCTTACTTGCTTGACGACCCAACAAACCAGCAGTGGGATGTTTTTCCACGGCGCCGATCTTCAGGATGACGGAGAAAAACGCGAACGCGATCAACTGTACGCGAAAGACCCGCTATTCCCGGATAGCTCGAAGGACCAAAATGTACGGTTCCTGGATCATCAGGGGTTCGAAATAATAGAATAATTTTAACTTACTCTATATTTATCACTCGCGTTATACAATAGAATATGAGCGAAATAATAACTATTATGTTAATTGCTATATAATAAGTGCAATCTAACGAACAGAGAGAGTGCCGACGTCTGGCTATGCTCCCGGGGTGAAACTCCCATGATACAGTTAATTGTAATGATACGAATGACTGCTGTAACAGTCGAAGAGAGTGCCTGCGTCGGGCTAATACTCTCGGGGCGTGACTCCGACGATGTAGGAAATCGTCATGCTTATAAGTGATCAAACTGTACAGCCAGGACACGTACTTACATAAGACAAACATCACGCTTGTAGGTGATTGGAATGTACGAGCCCTGGCACGTACTTACATAGGGAATAATTAAGCTTATAAAACTAAGGAAGCCTGAGCGAGTAAAATGTACAGCCTTGGCTCGTACAAGTAGTGTATGTAGCAAGTCGAAAACTTAATTTGTATGAAAATGACAGTTCGTGTCGACAAAATATTTTCATACAAATTTAGATGTACAATTCGTTCAAATGTGCCCCATCTAGTGCTGTCCGAAAGTACCCCACTAACTGAATAACAACAAAATATAACGAATTTTAATATTAATAGGAAAACGTCATAAATTAAGTATTGGAGATGTATCTTAAGTATATTTTGCTAGTTACTGATAGAATACTCTACACGAAAACTTATTTTATCTACGGTAACAAGAGACAAAAACATTGATCAAAAAATTACATACCGAACGCGAAAACACGTCTATGCCTGTAACTTCACTCTCATCGGTGCGAATTTCGCGAAACTTCGGTGATGTATAGTTGGTACCTCGACTCATGCACACATACAAAAACAAGACTGTACTTTGTTTCGTTCAAGTTTTATTTTGACTGTATGAATGTGCCCCGCGTACGAAGGGTAACGATCTTCCCCTATTTATATTTTTTTAATAAAAATTATAAACTTTAACTTAACTTGATATATTTTACGTTAATTTAATTTTAATTCAATAAGCGTTGGTGTCGGTA